GAATCTTTAAAAATAAAAGTGAATCAAATTAATGAAACCACTAAAAAAAGATATTGAGTTTCATCTGCATGTTTCGTAGTTTGAATTTTTTAAATCACATAAAATTTATTGAAAAATGCAAATATATATATAATTACATGACAATGCATAGAGTCTATACTATTTAAAATTTGCATATATAAGATATAGATATGGTTGCATATGCCTATTCAGTTCACAAATGAATAACTAAACTAATATTGAACCAATTGACCCTTAATGAAAATGGAAAAACGTATCCACATGAAGTATGTTGTGAATTGTGACTATTAGGTTTGGAGAATTTCGATTCACACATTACCTCTACGCCAAAAAAAATAGGATTTCTTTCAAATGTTGAATTATCTAATTACACATTTATTTGGTTTGTCAAAAATTTTAAGCAACTTAGTTGATGAACTATTCAATGATTATATTTATCTAAAAACTAGTCTCGTGATAAAAACTATAGATGGTTCCAAATCGTAAAATAATACTCTTTTTGTATTATAATAGATGATGTTTTAAAGAATTTTTTTTGTTTCATAATAGATGATGTTTTCAATTTTTATATAAAATTAATTGTGTTTTTGTTGTTTTTTACTGTTTAAATTCTACAGATTATTGTTTTAATTGGTTGAATTATTTTGAAATTAATGATAAAATATGTTTTATTTTGAAAAAAAAAATATTTTTTTAATCTATGTATAGCAACCTTAAAAATCAAGCAATATGATACAAAAAAAGTAATAATAATATATAGCAAATTTTGACTAATACTTTATTCATTTTTGCACATGATCATATTGTTTTCACTTATAACTATTAGTCTGAATTTCTCTTTTTTAAGAAAAGAAAAGTCAAAGAATGCAGCTATTGACCAAACAAGTGAACATACAGAAGAAGCTCATGTATTCTATTTAAGGTTTCCGTATTTAATTCTCTCTTCATATTTGCACCTAATTAATTACACAAAACTAGTGATAAATACAAATATCCTCTATATATTAACTGAGTAGATATTAATGAGGAGACAATAAAGTAAAAATTATATGTGTCACTCAATGATGATTTTTTAAAAAATATTATTTAAATTAATCAATAAAAACATTTCAATTAATTCTACATATTTTTATTAATTTTATAGCATAAACCCTTTAATACATGTTTTGCAAATCTAAGTCCAACTAAATGTAATATTTAAACTTATCATATCATCTTTTTTAAAACTTCTTTTATATTTTAAAAACATTTTATTATTATATATGTATTTAGATTAATATGATACATAAAATATTTACACATTTCATTATTGGAAAATATATATTGTTTTCGTTTATTATATCCGACAAATTCATATAAATCTAAAATTTATCTGATTTATCGCATACTC